CAAGCTTTGCATTAGGCTGAGTTGAGGAGCAGCTCAGAAGGCCTCAAGGTGGCTGGCGACCTGCTGGGCATAGGTATTCCTGCCATTCCCTTCCTGAATCCTTTTGGCCAGGAGGGTCTGGGGGCTGCTGGAGAGGTGGGGATGCAGAACATGAGCAGATGCCTTTGCGGTGAAACAGGAGGAAAATACAGTGCAATTACATGGGCAATTGAGCTTTGGGGAATGTGTTTTCAAAGCTCAGAACACACGTTCACCCGTTCGCCTCCATGAAGAAGAAGGAAGAAGCCTTAATTGGATGTCAGTTGAATTTCCATGGCAGAACGTCCCATCTTTCATTCCAGGGGCTCCAGGGACAAAGAAAATGCCCAACGCCAAAGGTCCAAAGTGCCACCTCCTTAATTACTTCTTAACTTGCTTCCAAAGTCTGGTATACCAAGTGTGATATTTTTTCAAACACTCCATGAGAATCATCACCAGCAAAATGCCCATTTAAACACACAGCCGTCCGTTTTCTGCACCAGGCACCCAGTTGTCAGAAAGCCAGGATATAGAGAGGGTGGCCTCCCCTGGAATCCACTGGCCAGAGGTGCCACCCTCTAGGCCCCATTTGCACTAGGTTGGGGCTTGCACCTTTTCAGAGTTCCCAGGAAGGCGATCGGGTGTGGCCTTTCAGCTGCCCAGGGCAAAGGCGGCTGTGATCTTCAGCCCCAGCAGGTATCTCCTCACAGTGTCAAGTGGCAATGCAGGAAAGCAAGACTTCCATTCACTGGCAAGCAGCTCTTGGCTCTCCATGTCTCTGGAGCCTGACCCACATATTATTTGCCTCGCCTTTGTGTGGCTACCCGGGGCTCAGCTGGGCTTTAAATGAGACCCGTCATTCAGTGTCTCTGGCGTTTCAAGCCACACCGAACCAAAAGTAGCCGTCAGCAGCAGCAGCAGCCTCATAGCCATTTACAAACAGTGATTAGAAAAGAAGCAGGTCTGTTTGATAATGTATTATTCTTTCACAGATTTATTGCTTATAGGGATTGTTTAATTATGAAGTTTCTTCTCATTTGATAAAGGAAAAATGGAAAATTGTACCATCCCACCAGCCACTTAATCTCTTAAGGGCAGCCAGAGTGGAAAAAGGAGGTTGAATTACTAGCTATTCATCTGCTGGAGTTACTATATCAATGGGATGTTTGGTGACAATTTTTCAAAGGGTGCAAAAGAGGTCCCTGCAGTAATGGAAGGGGGCTTATGTGCCAGAATAGAAAGAAGATTCAAGCAGCCAGAATCCTGGTGAGGAGTAATGCAGCCCTCCAGCTGGCTAAGAAAAAAAAAAGGCTTTGGCAGAACCACAAGAAACCAGCCAACAGGAGAAGAGGAGCTGACCCACACCTCTTGCTGTACCAAAGCATCATAGGCGGAGACTAGAATTTCTCTCTCCAAGATGCCACAAATTTCATCCACTCCCTTGCTGATGAACTGGCCATATTTCATATATTTCTTTGGAGGCTTTCTGGAGAACCCGAAGACACTGATGGTTGTGCGAAATGACGGGGCAAGCGGAATCTACGAAGGTTATGAAGTGGAAACAATCAGGAATGAAGCAAGAGTTGCCCAAGTGACCTCACTTGATCAGGCAGCTTTCTTAGTAGCCCTCTGCAGAGCCTTTGAAAAAGCACCCCACCAGCCATCCTGGTTAGCCAGCTGATTGTAGTGGATGCAGTTTGGAAGGACGCTTTCCAACCGGCTCCAAAAGTGTCTGATCAGGCTGGGGGGGGGGGGGGGGGGGGGGGGGGG